TATCGGGACTTCCCTAGTGGCACAGTGGTTAAGAATCCACCTACCAATGCAGGGGACACAGGTTCGAGCAAGGGACACGGGCTCAAGCCCTAGTCAGGGAAGATCCCACATGCCGTGGAGCAGCTAAGCCCGTGTGCCACAACTACTGAACCTGCGCTCTCCAGCCCGCGAGCCACAGCCACTGAACTCGTGAACCACAACTACTGAAGCCCGTGCGCCTAGAGCCCATGCTCCACAACAAGAGAAGCCACTGCAATGAGAAACACGCGCACTGCGACGAGGAGTAGCCCCCTCTCGCCGCAACTAGAGAAAGCCTGCAAGCAGCAACAAAGACCCAACTGCAGCCAAAAATAAATGAATTAAAAAAAAATTTACTACTATCAACAAATGATGCAGGAACAACTGGGCATACACATGCTGTTGTGGGGCAGGGAGAGATAATGGGGAAGGAGGAATTGCCAAAAGGCACAAGGAAATTCTCCTGGGTGATGGATATGTTCATTATTTTGATTGTGGTTATGTATGTCAAAACATCACATTGTAGACTTGATATATGTGCAGTTTATTGTATATCAATCATATCTCAATTATACCTCAATAAATCGTTGCCAGGGTGGGAAAGTCTTTAAATATATCAAGATCACAAACCATAAGAATAATAGTGACTAATTAGATTATACCAAAATTAAGGATTTCATTATTGACAGCTAATGATAAAAGTTAGGAAGAGATATTTGCAATGTCTAAAATCAATGAAAGACTAATATGGTAGATACATATACACTAAACTGCTACAGGGAATTCCCTGGCAGTCCAGTGGTTAGGAGTCGGCACTTTCACTGCTGGGGCCTGGTTTCAGTCCCTGGTAGGGGAAATAAGATCCTGCAAGCCAAGTGGTGCGGCCAAAATAAATAAATGAATAAAATAACCTGCTACAAATCAATTTTTTTTAAATGGGAATCTCAATAGAAAAATAGGCAAAGGAGGGCTTCCCTGGTGGTGCAGTGGTTGAGAGTCCACCTGCCGATGCAGGGGACACGGGTTTGTGCCCCGGTCCGGGAAGATCCCACATGCCGCGGAGCGGCTGGGCCTGTGAGCCATGTCCGCTGAGCCTGCGCGTCCGGAGCCTGTGCTCCGCAAAGGGAGAGGCCACAACAGTGAGAGGCCCGCGTACCGCAAAAAAAAAAAAAGAAAAAGAAAAATAGGCAAAGGAAAATGAATAGGCAATTCATAAAAGGAAAACCAAAAGTAAGAAAAAATTTGAGATGTTCAAACACATTAAAGAAATGCAATGAGATTTTTTTTTTTTTTTTTTTTTTTTTTTTTTTTTTTGCGGTACGCGGGCCTCTCACTGTTGTGGCCTCTCCCTTTGCGGAGCACAGGCTCCGGACACGCAGGCCCAGCGGCCATGGCTCACGGGCCCAGCCGCTCCACGGCATGTGGGATCTTCCCTGACCGGGGCACGAACCTGTGTCCCCTGCATCGGTAGGTGGACTTTCAACCACTGTGCCACCAGGGAAGCCCTTTGTGTGTGTGTATGTGTGTGTGTGTGTGTGTGTGTGTGTGTGTGTGTGTGGCAATGAGGTATTTTTAATTCATGGCAACTTGGAAATTTGAGTAATGTCAAGGAATTCCCTGGTGATGCAGTGGTTAAGAATCTGCCTGCCAATGTAGGGGACACGGGTTCGAGTCCTGGCTCGGGAAGATCCCACATGCCATGGAGAAACTAAGTCCGTGCGCCACAACTACTGAACCCACATACTACAACTACTGAAGCCTGTGTACCTAGAGCCCGTGCTCTAGAGAAGCCACTGCAATGAGAAGCCTGCACTCAGTAAGGAAGAGCAGCCCCTGAGAGCCACAACTAGAGAAAGCCCTGCGGACGGCAACAAAGACCCAACGCAGCCAAAAATAAATAAAATTTTAAAAATAAATAAATAAAAATAACGTCAAGTATTGGCAAGAAGGTTGGGATATAGAAATCCCGCTATTAATGGTGTGATATTCCAGAGACTGTGGAGCTCAATATTCAGAAGAAATTATTACAGAACCAAAGGAGACATGTATGTACCAGGATATTTATTGCAGCATCGCTTGTGGTAGCAGGAAGCTGGAGGCAATCATTGGAGTAGTGAACAAATAAAGGATAGGGATTCCCACAATAGAGTATCTTTCAGCAGTTAGAAGCAAAGGACTAGAAGGCCATGAGGGGCGTGGTCAGAGAAAGTTTATTTGTTTTGTTTTATTTTTTTAAGATGGTAGATATTACAGCACACTTGTATGCTAATAGGAATGAGCTAGTAGAGAGAAAAATTGATAATACAGGAGAAAGGGGATAATACAGGAGAAAGAAGAAGAAATGGACTGACGGGGCTTCCCTGGTGACGCAGTGGTTAAGAATCCGCCTGCTAGTGCAGGGGACACGGGTTCGAGCTCTGGTCCCAGAAGATCCCACATGCCACGGAGCAACTAAGTCCATGCATCACCACTACTGATCCTGCACTCTAGAGCCCACGTGCCATAACTACTGAGCCCGCGTGCCACAACTACTGAAGCCCATGCTCCTACAGCCCAAGCTCCGGAACAAGAGAAGCCACAGCAATGAGAAGCCCGCGCACTGCAACAAAGTGTAGCCCCCACTCACCACAACTAAAGAAGGCCGGATGCAGCAAGGAAGACCCAATGCAGCCATAAATAAATAAATAAATAAATTAATTAATTAATTAAAGAAATGGACTGAGGTGTAGAACTGGAGGGTGGGGGTGAGGGTGGGGTGAGGGATGGGAATGGGAGAGTGACACTTAGCTTAAATAGCAGCAATGACAATTCACTGTAACAAGATGGAAGTCAGAATACATAAGTGAGGATGGAGGTAATTTGGCCAGATTGGTGTTAGATAGATAAGGATGTCTTCTTTTGATTACTTTCACAATAAAACAAGAACCAAAGTTATCATCTAAGAGTAAGGAAAAATAAAGGGATGCTGGGTAACTGCAGAGAGCGTTCGTAAATAAAGCCTCCCTTCCTTCATTTATTGAGTCAGAGCAGCACCCAACAGAGATGACCCCTTACTTGTCAGCTTTATCCAGTGTTTACATCCCTGATGTTTAGCATAATGTATTGAAGAATGGATACCAGCAAGCACACATGGGTATCTAGTTGGGGAGGGGAGGGTTAGGGTCGGTGATAATAGGAAGAAATACAGCTAGTTTTCAGTTAATGAAGGCCTCCCTGTCTTTTCTCAGTAAATACAAACAACAACCTTTAAGTAAATATGACTGCTCTACAAAGAAACTAAGGAGGGTTTCCTTCTTCAGACCCAGAGCCTGAAGACTAACTAGGTCAAGGTGGATGAGTGATAAAATGAAAGGCCCCTTAAGTGGTGTTAGCTCAGTTATCACAGGAGTTTGATTCTGAGCAGGGGAAGCTCCAGTCTCAGAGTGACAGACGAAATCCTAGCAAAAAACCGGAGTCCCTTCTTCTGATCACCTGATCATCTCAGCATTGTCACCGGGTGGATGACCTTGGAGTAGTTCCACATTTCCAGTTCTGTAAACTAGAGTGAAGTACCCTAGGTCACATAATTTTTATGTTAAGTGAAACATTCTCTAAGTTGAGGGAGCACTTGCAAACGACGTGGTATATGTATGTATATGTTAATGTTGCTATTACTATTACGACTGTTATGTAAGTGGTCAGGGCAAGATCAACGCCAAGAGGGCAAAGGTAGCCTCCAGAATGGTAGCCTCCCCAGAGAATGGGCCCTCTAGGATGAAGATCAATACAAGGCAAGTTTAAAGAATTTTAGCCAGTAATCTTTGCTCGGAGTGAGAGGTGGAATTTTTCTTAATCAAAGTTAAAATGTTCTTGAAGTCTTCAGGCTTGAAACTCCGGGGAAGATAATTAGGCTCTCTGGGCAAGATCCGGAATGCAACGCCGTGTGGGGCCTCACTGCCGCCGGTTGGGCACCAGGGGGTGCCCGTCGGATCCAGCTGGAGTCTGGCTGGGTTTGGGGCAGCCCCTCGCGGTGCGCCCCACCGCCTCTGGCCAGAATCCTGGAGCTGGTGCTGGAGGTGCCCAGGGTTCATGCCTTTCGGGGACGCAGCCTCTAGTGCCCTCTCTGCGTCCCCCTCCTTCTCCTCTCCAGCGACAGCCCGGGCCCGGAAGGCCTGGGAAAGTGAGCGCCTGTGGTGGGAACGCTGGCCGCCCCGACGGCGCGGTCCGACCCCAGTGTGCAAGGGGAGGCAGCTGTTCTCCCAGGCGGCCTTGGGGGGCAGCAGAGGCGACGGCGACAGGTGCTGGAGCCCCTCCCGGAGTGGAAGTGAAAAGGCGGGCTTTGGGGTCTGTTCCCAGGCTGGAAGCCACCCCCGCCCCCCAACCAAATCCCCGGGAGAGGCCGGGCCGGCGCCGGGTCTGGAGGAGGAAGCGGCCGGAGACACTGCAATTTCACGCGGCCTCTGGGGCTCGGGTTCCTCGGCAGGGTGCATGAGTTATGGGGTTTCGAGGCGGTTCCGGGGAAACTGAGGTGGCCTGAGCGGGCGGCAAAAACACCCTCCCCCTCAAAAACACACTCGGAGAGAAGCATTCACATTCAGACGGAAAATCCCCCAAGTGACCCAACCGGCTAGGGGAGTTGAGTGATTTGGTTAGTGGGCGAGGCCAACTTGCAGGGGGTCGGGCTTTGGAGCGCTCTCCCCACCCCCATTACCTTTCTCCTTTGGAAGCATTTAGGGGCGTTTGGAATCTTGGCCTCCCCTTACTTCAGCTCCTGGAGAAAAATTAGGGCGAGACCCGTCCTGGATCTGCGCGGCCAAGTTGCCGGGCACTGGGGCGTGGGGCGCGCTTGGGGCGGGCCGCCGAGGCTCCAGCAATCGCTACTCCAGCCTCGCGCCCGAGGGGGCGCGGCCGAGATTCACCCCCTCCCCCTGCGCTCCCTTGCAGACTACACCCCTCCCCTGCCATCCCGCCCCAAACTCCGGCTCCGGCTCCGGTTGCAGTTTGCAACCTCCTCTGCCGCCGCTACCAAGTCTCCGGCGGCTCAGGTGGCTCCGCTTAGATGTCCTAGTCCAGGGCCGCCCCCCGGCCGGATTGGGCTGGGCTCCCCTCACTCTCCGCTGGAGTCATGAGAGCGAACGGGGCTCTGCAGGTGCTGGGCTTCCTCCTCAGCCTGGCCCGGGGCTCCGAGGTGGGCAACTCGCAGGCAGGTAAGCGGTGCGGGAGCACCGGCAGGCTCGGAACCTGGGATTCCGAGCCAAATTCGCGGGGTGCCGGAGGCCAGGGGCAGGAGCTCGGGCTGTGCGAGGCTGGGGGTGCGGAGCCCCGGCGCGCTGGGGCCCCCTGGGCGGAGACCGTCAGGATCAGGTTCTCGGCGTGGTCCGGGCGGGGACGGGATTCCCGGACCACTACCTTGCCCCGGCCACCTCCTCCCTGCCGTGTCGCGGACCCTCTGATTTGTCTCTCAGGATAGGGCTGATGCCGAAACAGTTCACACTTCTGAGGGGCCCTGCAGGGAGGGGAGCTGGGACCTACATTCTGTAAACGTGAAGGGATGATTGGAGGTGGAGATCTTGGAAAGAGCGGGGCAGGGAAGGGGGGAGTTCTCGGTTTGCTCCCAACCTCCTGCCCCCAGGGGCTCAAAAACCTCCAGTTTTGTTGTTTTGCCGGCAGGGCGGAGCTGTGGAAGGGGGGAGGTTGTTGTTGTCTACTGTTGGAAAACAAGAGAGGCACCTCCTCTTCCGTGAGTGGGCCTGCCCTATGGAGAGCTGAGATTAACCCAAGGGCCAAGTCCAGGTGACAGCAGGGTGAGAGGCCTCACAGAGGCTGACTGGCCTCTTTCTCTCAAAATAATAAAGTTAGCTGGTCCCCGACTTGACCAAACTTTTTTTGTCAAGACCCAGATCAATTCAACTAATACTTATTGAGCACCTACTATGTACAAAGCACTGAGCCAGGAGCTATAGGGTCAAGGGCTTCCAGATGCTACTTCTCTGTCTTTTCTCTCCCCAACCTGAGGGCCAACAGGGCACCTGTCCTGTCTTCTGAGCCCCCTGTCCTGGGGGGGGGGGTGTCCTTCTTAGGCCCAGAGTCACCCCCACCCCCATTCTGTTTATTGTCTGGCTGTCTCTAGCAGTCTAGACAAGAGTCAGATTGCTCCTCTGTTCCTCCTCCCACTCCCATGCCAGCTGAGCCCACCTCTTTGGGGTGTCTCTGGGACCATGGACACCTGAGGGGTGCTGGGGTTGCTGGCATTGGAGGAACCCTGTTGATTTCCTCCCCTCCCCCCAGATCTCAGCTTGGGGTTTGGCACAGTCAGGGCCCCTTCCCCAGGGTGGGAGTGGGAGAAACACCTGTGCTTCCCTCACAGTTGCTGGGCCTAAATTTAGACCCTGGGATCTTGAGACGTGAACACTCCCAGCTGGTGGAGGGTGGGGGTCTGGGGATTGGAGTGGGAGAGACTGAGTAAAGTGAGTGTATCACTGTCCCATCCAGACCCCAGGAATCTTCAGCTGGGAACCCAGGAGTCCCAGATCCTGGCTACCTTCCCTGAGGGAGACAGGAGGCAGGCATGGTTGGGTCTCTTTACCCTTTATCTGGATCCTGCAGCCTCTGGGCATCCGGCCCTGTCTCAGTCCTTCTATAGCCCCTTTGTCCTGCCTGTGATGGGGGCTGGGGGACTTTGGAGAGGAGGCCTCTGGTTAAGGAGGGGCTGGAGATTCTTGCTGTGACCCACCCCAGTGCTCTTTACCAAAGCGGGGGTCTCTCCCTGTGCCCCTAATCCCTGCATATAGCAGAGGGACTTTGTACTTCCCCTACCCCTCCTCTCCTCCCCCAGCTGCCTGGTTCCTCCTCAGAGGTGTTGTTCATACTCTCTTCCCACCCAGCCCTTTGCTCCTATTTGTGTAATATGGACTTTACCCTCAGGGTGGCAGGGAACTGGGATCTCGAACACTGTAGCCTCCCAAGCACAGACACAAAGTTTGCACAAACACATATGGGCAGGTGGAATGGATGGGGCCACCTGAAATACTTCCACATAAGGAAACCCAAGGACAGAACCAGTGTAGATTTCTGGGCCAGTAGGGGAGCTGTGTACGTGTACGAGTACGAGTACGTGTGTGTGTGTGTGTGTGTGTGTGTGTGTACACGCCCACACCCCACTTCCCTGTGCAGAAATTGTGGCTCCTTCCTTATCTGGGGAGAAGGGTTGGCGCCTTGACTTGGAAGAGGGGGTGTCCTGCCAGGAAGGGGGTTGGGGTGGCACTGTTCCAGAAACGACTAACCTCCTAGTCGTTTCATTTTCAACCCAAGGACCCTAGAGTTCCCAGGCTCCTCTGGGAGCTCCCAGCCTGTTTACCCCTCTGCTGGGTCTAGCTCACCCCTTTCCCTTCATGGGGTGTGATAGGGAATGGGAGCCCTTCAAAGGTCAGGTGGTCAGACTAGGGGTGCATCAGGGAGGAGGGGTTGGGGCCTCACCAGTCTCCCTCCCTCCATTCACTCCTGCCTCCCACTAGGCTGCCACTGCCTCAGGGAAGGGTGGCTGAGACAGGTGGTATCTACCCCCCCTCCTTGCAGTCTTTCACTGAGCCAGAGGAGAGACAAGGGGTAGGGCTTCAGGGTCCAACATTTCCCATAGCCCCTATGTCCTCCATACTTACAAAGTAAAGTGAACCCCCAAGACTGACATGCCTCTTGTACCTCGAGTCTAGGCTCTCCCTAATGTGAGTGAGTGTGCCATGTTGGAAGTATTCTTTTTTTTTTAAATTAATTAATTAATTTATTTTTGGCTGTGTTGGGTCTTCATTTTCTGGGCAAGGGCTTTTTCTAGTTGCGGCAAGTGGGGGCCACTCTTCATCGCGGTGCGCGGGCCTCTCACTATCGCGGCCTCTCGTTGCGGAGCACAGGCTCCAGACGCGCAGGCTCAGTAGTTGTGGCTCACGGGCCCAGTTGCTCCACAGAATGTGGGATCTTCCCAGACCAGGGCTCGAACCCGTGTCCCCTGCATTGGCAGGCAGATTCTCAACCACTGTGCCAGGGAAGCCCTGGAAGGTTTCTTAATGAATCTCCTCTGACAATGAAATTGGGTAGAAGGCTTAGAATGGAGGCAGTCGGCTGCTGTTTCCATCCGGCTTCTCTGTATTTGCTGAAAAATACTCTAGGGCTGGAAAGTGTGATGCTGAGGGAGCTGGAGTGGGTTGGGATGGGGAACAGAGTGAGAGGAAAGCCAGAATTGATGAAGGGGGTGCGAGGTGGGCAGTCAGCTCCCTATCTTCCAGCTTTATAGACAGAGCTCACACTGAGCCCCCCACACTACCACCAGAGGCCCCCTGCCAGTGAGGTCACTCGTCTGAGCCCAAGGTTTGAGGGGAGAGAGGGGGGCTGCGGCTGAGGACAGGGTGTCTGGGGACAGGGTGGGGCAGCCCCCTCCTCCTAAATAGAATCGCCTCATTGTGGGCCGTACCGTGGCCCCAGGCACTGCCCCCGCCCTCTGCCCCCATCCCACCCTCAGTAGACACAATAGGGGCTGTGTGCTGCCCCAAAGAGATATTTATTCCAGGACCTAGAGAGGCAGGATGGGGGTAGAGAAGTGCCCTGGTTGGAGCGGGGGAAGGGAAGAGGACGGTAACCAAGCTGTGGTCCTTTTCTAACTTCTTTCTAGGGAGGGGAAAACAACCCTACATCCTCCTTGATTAACTCCTTAGCACCTAAAGTAGTACCCAGTAGAGGCACAGAGGAGGCCCAGGTGGGAAAAGGCAATCTTTTCACCTTCCTGTTCAGGGGGCCAGTGAAGGGATTCTGGGAAAAGAGGAAGTTTAGGCTCTCAGTCCGGCCTTGGCATCTGCCTCTAGGGCAGAGGGTTGGAGGCAGCTGCCTCTGATCGTGCTAAATGTTACTGGAAGAGGGCAACCAAGGGGTGGTCTTGGGGGACGGGGCCGAAAACTTGTGTCCAGGCCTCTGCCATTCTTACCTCCACTTGGAACAGTGTGCCCTGGGACTCTGAATGGGCTGAGTGTGACCGGCGATGCCGAGAACCAGTACCAGACACTGTACAAGCTCTACGAGAGGTGTGAGGTGGTGATGGGGAACCTGGAGATCGTGCTCACAGGACACAATGCTGACCTCTCCTTCCTGCAGGTTAGAGTGCCGACCCCCTTCCTCGACCTCTTCCCCCTTGTCCTCCCTACAGAAGCCTCTTTCCTGTCCTCAGGGCTGGAGTTGAGCATTCCTAAGACTCCATGGTTCCTAAGATCCAAGTCAGTGTGTTTATGGGGCAATGATTGGAATCTGGGGCCTGTGGACTGGTCGCTGTAGCCGGGGATGCACAGGGGCTGGCCCTGAGAAGGGGGCAGGGGCAGGGTGGGGTTCTGCACCAGGGACCAAGAGGCACCTGAGGAGGTGAGGAAGGGATAAGCAAGGACCCTCCTGGCCTGAGGAGACCTGAGAAGGAAAGGCTAGGAGCCTAGAATTCCTCGGTTATTTCTGCAGCTTGTCTTCACTTGCAGAAGTCGTGTGGCACCTGCTACTCCCTACTCCAAAACAGGACTTGGAAAAAATTAGAGGAGCTAGAGCTTCCTCAGTGCCTTAGGGAGGGAAAGCGGATTGAGACATCTTGCCCCACGCTCCCTCTCACCCACACGATCTGCTCCATCACAGTGGATCCGAGAAGTGACCGGCTACGTCCTTGTGGCCATGAATGAGTTCTCTACGCTGCCACTGCCCAACCTCCGAGTGGTGCGGGGGACCCAGGTCTACGATGGGAAGTTTGCCATCTTTGTCATGTTGAACTACAACACCAACTCCAGCCATGCTCTGCGCCAGCTCCGCTTTACTCAGCTCACTGGTCAGTTCCTGATGATTCCTTCCAGGCCTGCCCCACAGCCAACCTGCTGACAGGTGCCTCTTTGATGATGACCCAAGACTGCTCCCTCTAAGTACCCCTGTTCAACGTGCCCACTACCTTGACCACCACGGTCTAAAGGTCCACTCCTCCTTAAATGATAGAGGGCCCTAACAGGGAGCTGAGGCATCTGTCCCCGGGGAGGGTCCTTATGTCCTGGTGGGGCTGGAGTTGGAGCTGAGGCTGTTACACATTCTTCTAACTTCCGAGTAAAGTGTCCCTTGATGTCCCTCCTTCCCTGGGAATGGGAATCCTCCCTCCCGCCCTCACAAGTCGCCCCAAGCTGGAGGACTAGAGGGGTTAAATACCACCTGGCCACCTTCTAATTCTGCCTGTCCCAGTCAGTTGAAAAATACACAGGTAGGGCACGTGGGGGTGGGGAGGTGTGGATTTGAGTCAGGGATCTACTCTCCTTCTTTCACTTCCCCTCCCCAACTCGCTAAACCGGATCTGGACAGGTGTCTGAGGGGGAAGGACTTTCTTTTGGCCTGCTCCTCTTACAAGGCGCGCCTCCTCTGCAGTTTGGATTTAATTGGACATATCCGTCTGCCCATGTCCTCTGCTCCTGACTCAGGTGGCCTTTCAGACTGGTGGGGAGGCAGGGAAAAGGAGGACTTCCCTGACTAGCCCTTGACCCTGGCACTTCTCTTCCCTACCTCAGAGATTCTGTCAGGGGGCGTTTACATTGAGAAGAATGATAAACTTTGTCACATGGACACAGTTGACTGGAGGGACATCGTGCGGGACCGAGACGCCGAGATAGTGGTGAAGGACAATGGCAGGACCTGTGAGTGGCCATGATCAAGACTGCCCCCTTGCCCCCACCCAACCAGAGTGACTCCTTTCCCCTCATTAATATGTCCCTAATGTGAACCCAGCTGCCACTGAACAAACCTCAGGCTCTAACCCAAGGAGCCTGCCAGGAGGGAGCAGGTCAGTCCCCTAGAACCCGCACCGCAGAAGCAGCCTGCGAAGGAAAGGGGCTGAAGAGGTCTGTGCTCTGAGTGGGAAGCCAGGTCTCTGGACTGCACATCCATTTCTCTTTCCACTCCAACATCGTTCCTTCTTGGAACCTACCTAGCCCTGACCGCAGTCTGCCACTCCCTGTCCACTCACTCACACATATTTCTACTGGGTTCAGTTTGCCAAGAAGAACCAGATTCCTGGGTTGGGACTGGGCTGAGTGAGGCATGTGCCCCGGGCCCTCCCCTCAGCTGCCCTGTGGGTGGTGTGGAGGCGCGGCTCCACCCCTTGCTGACAGGTTCACTTGAGCCCAGCCCAGCTCTGCTGGGGCAAGGAGGGATGCTGCCCTGGCTCTTCGCTTCCTGGGACCGGGTGCCTGTGTGCTGACATCATACCCTGTTGATTTGAGCAAGCCTTTTTGACAGCCGCTTGTGCTACTTTTCCTCCCAACCAGGTCCCCCCTGTCATGAGGTCTGCAAGGGGCGATGCTGGGGTCCTGGACCAGAAGACTGCCAGACACGTGGGTTTACTTCATTTTAAAGATTTCAAACTCATATACACTTTCATATCCTTGCCCACCCCAGCCTGTATCGACAGGGGGTAGCGATGAGCCTATAAGGCAAGAGGGTGAGAGATAGCCTCAGAATACAGTCCTGTGAGCCCTGACAGCTGTGCTTTCTCTCCGTCCATAGTGACCAAGACCATCTGTGCCCCTCAGTGTAATGGTCACTGCTTTGGGCCGAACCCCAACCAGTGTTGCCACGACGAGTGTGCAGGGGGCTGCTCGGGCCCTCAGGACACAGACTGCTTTGTACGTACTGTTACCACCGCTTGCCTGTTCTGAAATGGGATGTGGGCTTTGGGGAGGAAGTAGGGATCCATATGTAACATGAGTCTTATGAGCCTTCTGTGTTCCTAGGCCTGCCGGCTCTTCAATGACAGTGGAGCCTGTGTACGCCAGTGTCCACAGCCTCTTGTCTACAACAAGCTAACTTTCCAGCTGGAACCCAATCCCCACACCAAGTATCAGTATGGAGGAGTTTGTGTAGCCAGCTGTCCCCGTAAGTGTCTGAAGGGAAGGAACAATGGTAGTGGAACCAGGATTTTAGATGAAATTTTAGGAGGCAAAATGGATCAAGTTGGGTGGTTAATAGAGGATATAGAGGGCAATTGGTTGTGATCATCTAGTCACCCCTAATGAATGACCCCTATGTCCCGTTCCCGCATCTATCTCCCCATGACTTCCAGCAATTGCTCCTAGCTCTGCTCTTTGGATCCAAAGAGCAAAGGGCCTTTCTAATCCATGAGACAGCACTCAAGGAACTTCGGGTGGTCGACTGGAGCAAATGCAGTGCAGAGCAGGAGGAAGGAGGTTCAGTTGGTAGTTGGCAGTGTTCCTCCCTCATCTCTAATGGTGCCCTCCTCCCTCCTAGATAACTTTGTGGTGGATCAAACATCTTGTGTCAGGGCTTGTCCTCCTGACAAAATGGAAGTAGATAAAAATGGACTCAAGATATGTGAACCTTGTGGGGGTCTGTGCCCCAAAGGTGAGTAAGAGATGGTAAGGAGTTGGTGAAGAGATACCCTTTCCCCTGAGACTACTGAGACTCCACCCCCCCACACCCCCTCCCCAGTGAGCCTCTTCTGTGTTTACAGCTTGTGAGGGGACGGGCTCTGGGAGCCGCTTCCAGACTGTGGACTCGAGCAACATTGATGGATTTGTGAACTGCACCAAGATCCTGGGCAACCTGGACTTTCTTATCACCGGCCTCAATGGGTTAGAGATTCTGCTTTCATCCCCTGATCCCCCACCCCATCCACCTGCTCACGGTTCATTGCACTGGTTCAAGCCTTCGTATGTGGAGCTGATCAGGAATCTAGATCATAAAATCTTAGAGGCCACAAAGGACCTGACAGTGCTTAACTCCCCAGCCAGGGCTTGAATCCCCTCAGATACCCCTAAGCAATCCAGCCAGCTGAGTGGCAAGGGACAGGGACACTGTGTCCTCCTTCTTAAAAGGTTTCTAAATGTTCTTACTTAAATTAGATAAAAATCTGTCTCATGACTTCCAGCTGTTTCCCCTAGTTCTGCTTCTTGGTTTGGAGCCACAAAGAGCAAAGGGACATTCTAATCCATAGGAGAGCATTTACAGTGAGTGAGTGAGTGTGTGTGTGTGTGTGTGTGTGTGAGTGTGTGTGAAACGTTAGGGCCACCTGTCTACTTTGGACAAAATTTTAGATCTAAAGTTGCAAAAAATGGTATAAAGATTTCCCATACACTCTTTATTCAGATCCCCCAAATGTTACCAATGTACCACATGTTTATCATTTCTGTCTCTCCACACCACACACTATATATATACATGCTCTTGTTTTTCTGAACCACTTGAAGGTAAATTTCCAGACATGGTGTCCCCTCACCCCAGTTACATTTCAGTGTGTATTCCTTGAAAACAAGAACATTTTCTTACAAAACCGTAGTACAATTGTTTAAATCGGGAAATTAGCATTGATACAAAATGTTATCTAATCTACAGAGCTTAGTCAGATTTCGCTAGTAGTCTTCCTCACGTCCTGGATCACACATTTACATTTGGTGTCTCTTCAGTCTCCTTTAATCTGTCACAGTTCATGACCTTGACATTGCTGATGAGTACAGGTCAGGTGATTGGTAGTGTGTTCCTCAGTTGGGGTTTATCTAATGTTGCCTCACACTTAGATTCAAGTTATGCATTTTTGATAAGAATACTACAGATGTATTCCCAGTGCATAGTATCAAGGAGGCACATGATGTTGATTTGTTCCATCATTGGTGATGATACCTCTGGTCACTTGGTTAAGGCGGCGTCTGCCAGCTTTTCTACTGTAAAGTTACTATTTTTCCTTTGCAATTAATAAGTATCTTGTGGGGAGATATTTGCCGGAAGCAGTTTTTATGAGAATTGCCAAATGATGATTTTCTAACTCCATTATTCCTCCTGTATTTATTTGTAGGCATCCTCGTGTTAGGGAGAGCCTTCCCTTCCTGTTTATTTACTTACTTGTTTGTGTGTTTAATCTGTATGGATACTTGTTTGACTCAACATTTCAGAGTCTCTTACAATCATCATTCCAGTTGTCCTTGGTCTGTTCATTGTGGGGCCCCTTCATGATGGCTCCTGTGTTCTTTGGGCTTATACCCCTCATGCTTTGAGCATTTCCTTACTTCTTTGCACAGGATGCTGTAGGCTCATGTTATATTTCTCCTGCCTCAGCCATTTCTCCCAAGAGTCCTGTTTCCTTTTAGCGGAGAACACTATTTGGAAACTAAGTTCTGAGGCTAGGCATGCTCACTGCTACTTGGTTATGCCTCTACCTTGTTGACTGGTTTTTACTGTTCTCCTCAGAGACCCCTGGCACAAGATTCCTGCTCTGGACCCTGAGAAGCTCAATGTCTTCCGGACAGTGCGGGAGATCACAGGTGAATCGGAGGAGCGCCTGCCCTTACTGAGTATACCACTTGAGAAAATCATGTGCCAGGCATCAGGGGAGGGACGAGGCAAACCTGAGAAAGGAAGGGGAGAGGCTCCCCACTCATATGCCCCTCTCCAACCCCTCAGGTTACCTGAACATCCAGTCCTGGCCTCCCCACATGCACAACTTCAGTGTCTTTTCCAACCTGACGACCATTGGGGGCCGAAGCCTCTACAAGTGAGTAAGGGGTGTGGAGGTCGTCGCATCTCCGGGCAAAGAACCCAGTTTCTCAGGCATCCTTGAGTGAAATACAAGGCATGGTCTCACACAGTGGGAGTTTGATGGGGCAAAGGCTAAAGGAGGGGGGAGTCCCTCTCAGGGGGTTGATTAGCCCAGAGCAAATTTGTTGAATGGAAATGAATCCACTGCGTGCTCAGTTTTTCCTCTGTAGTCTCCCCTCTCATCCAGTCTCCTTGTTCTCAGCCGGGGCTTCTCACTGTTGATCATGAAGAACTTGAATGTAACATCTCTGGGCCTCCGATCCTTGAAAGAAATTAGTGCTGGGCGTATCTACATAAGTGCCAATCGACAGCTCTGCTACCACTATTCTTTGAACTGGACCAGGCTGCTTCGGGGGCCTTCGGAAGAGAGACTGGACATCAAGCATAATCGGCCCCGCAGAGACTGCGGTGAGGGAAAGGGCCCACGGACGGGGCTGTGGAATCAGGCAGGAGAGGGGTATAAGGGCTGCTCTGCCCTGAAAGTGGGAGTAGGGATGGAGGACAGAGCCAAGGAGAGGGGGACATTAGGCTGGAAGCAGTAATGAGCAAGAGTTCAGGAAAAGGCTTGTTAGGAGACCTCAGACTCCTCCTAACCCACCCCTTCCTTTCCAGTGGCAGAAGGCAAAGTGTGTGACCCACTGTGCTCCTCTGGGGGATGCTGGGGCCCAGGCCCCAGTCAGTGCCTATCTTGCCGAAACTACAGCCGAGGAGGTGTCTGTGTGACCCACTGCAACTTTCTGAATGGGTACAGTGAGGGGAGAGAGTCAAGAAGGGGTTGGGGGATGGACCCGAGGGATGGAGCTGTTCAGGTGGCACCTGAAAGCCTTTAGACAACTTTCTGTATATGCCTTGGTGGGAATTAGGTAGGAGGCCCTGTGGTTGGGGGATCAGAGCATAAAGGTCAGGCCTTGGAAGTGACCCACCTCCCTTTACCCCCGGTCCCCCACTGCAGGGAGCCTCGTGAGTTTGCCCATGAAGCTGAATGCTTTTCCTGCCACCCGGAATGCCAACCCATGGAGGGCACTACCACGTGCAATGGCTCGGTACAGTAGCAGCACCAGGATCTCTAAGGGAGAGAGGGCGGGGCAACACTGGAGGGTCTAAGGAATGATATGGCCAAATTTCAAGGCCATAGCGAGGCACAGGGAGGTCAGATAATGCTAGGGTCTGTGAATGGAGGATCCTAAATGGCTGGGCTAGTTCTTGTTGGGAAGTATGGAATTGATCTTGGAATACCATACTTCCTGACCTTCTCTCTTCCAACCAGGGCTCTGATGCTTGTGCCCAGTGTGCCCATTTTCGAGATGGGCCCCACTGTGTGAGCAGCTGCCCCTTTGGAGTCCTCGGTGCCAAAGGCCCCATCTACAAGTACCCAGATGCTCAGAATGAATGTCGGCCCTGTCATGAGAACTGCACCCAGGGGTCAGTGATGGGACGATAAAAGGGTGTTGGCAGAGGGGTAAGAGTACAGAACTAGAGGGAAAGAAGATGGTGAGGAGAGCAGAAAGAAAGAAGGAACTATGACTTAAGAACCACTCCCAGCTGTGTAGTGAAGGATTGGAGGAAGGGAAACTCAGTAACAGCACAAAATGACGCTACAATTTGGGGAACCTGGAATAACCTCAGCTCAGGGGAGTTTCATTCAAGAGAGGGACTCAGGGAGGATTGGTAAGCCAGAGATGGGAGCCATGTCTTGGGAATATGCTTTGGGCTTCAGGATGGGATGCCATGGTAGGGTCTGAAACAATGTACGTTGAGAGTGTTGGAATTGAGCTTCTTGTGGAAGTTTACCAAGCTTTCATTTAAGGAGGTGACTTTCTTCTCCAGGTGTAAGGGACCAGAGCTACAAGACTGTTTAGGCCAAACACTGGTACTGATCAGGTATGGTGGGCTTGGAGATTTAGGGAGCTGGGAATATTTGGGGAAGGGCCGTTACCTCCTAGGAAGATTAAGTCTCTATTCATTCTGGCCCTCTATATACAGGCTACTATCACTGGACCTGGGGACACAAGAATCCAGGCTTCTGGTCTTCCCTTCCTAAGATTAACTTGCAGTAGTCTTGGGGTGGAGACTGAGGCTAACCCCTTCATTGCTCAAGGATATATGTAGATGTGAATGTTAACTTCTTGCCCCAGATCTGCGCTATACCTTTAGTACAGGTGTAAATGACATTTGTAAGGGAAGTGTAGACCCAGGATAATTCTGGGCTTCTCTGTCCCACAGCAAAACCCATCTGGTAATGGCTTTAACAGTGGTGGTAGGATTGGCAGTGATTTTCCTGATCCTGGGCAGCACTTTTCTCTACTGGCGTGGGCGCCGGATTCAGAATAAGAGGGCTATGAGGCGCTACTTGGAACGGGGTGAGGTGAGTGCCTAGCTTACCCTTGAAACATACCCTATACCAGCACCCTTTTAAGATCCTCTTCCTTCCCCAGAGCTTTGATTCCTTTCTTCAAGGAGGTAGTGTGGTCCATTAGAAAGGACTCTGGCCAGAGAAATGGGAGACATGAATTCTAGTCCTGATTTTGCCATTAATTTGCCGTATGACTTTGAAGAAGGTAGCTTCCTTCTCTGTGCCTCAGTTTATGCATGTGTACAGAGGAAATAATAACATTCATCCTTACAAGATGGCTGTAGGGGTAAAAGGGGATGATGTATGTGACAGTGCTTTGGAAAACAGAGAGAATTGTATAAAAGTACTCAGGTGATGGTATTACGAACTCTCTCCCAACAAAGGGAAAACCTGACCCTCTTGATTTCTGGTCTCATGAACACAAACGACTTCCTCAATCCTCAGGTCTTTTATTCCCCCATATGCCTGCAATGCTTTCCAAGACTAGAGACATTCCTCTTCCTGCTCCCACCCCTTTGGGCTTTGCTGCTCTTGGCATCCACCTCTGGGGAGGGGGTTGGAGAGGGACATGGGAGTGGGCTTTCCTGAGTACTTCCTTTCCACCTGTTCCAGAGCGTAGAGCCTCTGGATCCCAGTGAGAAGGCTAACAAAGTCTCAGCCAGAATCTTCAAAGAAACAGAGCTGAAGAAGCTTAAAGTGCTGGGCTCGGGCGTCTTCGGAACTGTGCACAAAGTGAGTGGCCCACAGGAAGTCTGGGGAGGTGGGAAAAGGATCTAGGGCAAAGGAGGGAAAGATTCAGAGACAGGACTAGCCTGGGGAGAATGACCTTAGGCTGACTCCTGCCCAAAATTTCCCAGGGAGTGTGGATTCCTGAGGGTGAATCGATCAAGATTCCAGTCTGCATTAAAGTCATTGAGGACAAGAGTGGACGGCAAAGTTTTCAAGCTGTGACGGACGTAAGTGAAGGCAGGGTGTTCTGTGTGCCACCAGGAGACGGTTGATATTAGATACGATTATGTAGGAGCACGGTGTTGTGTTAGCAGATACTGTGTTAGCCATGTTGATGTCTTCGAATGTTGAGGGAGCCCTGGTCTGGTTTTATGTGACCCTGTTTGTTCCCAGGATGACCTTTCTTGTGTCTCTTAGCATATGCTGGCCATTGGCAGCCTCGACCATGCCCACATTGTACGGCTGCTGGGACTGTGCCCAGGGTCATCTCTGCAGCTCATCACTCAGTACCTGCCTCTGGGCTCCCTGCTGGATCATGTGAGACAACACCGTGGGGCACTGGGGCCACAGCTGCTGCTCAACTGGGGAGTCCAAATTGCCAAGGTGAGTGAGAGGAGACTGGAGGAGTTCTAAGATGAAACTGCCCATGGGCCCACAGGGAGGGGACCAGGAGGTTCAAGTGTTGAGAGGTGCCTTAGGGTTTGAGGTGATTCTGAAGCTCAAGGACCAATTTCCCCAACCTTGAGAATACTTCCTTCCCTATAGGGAATGTACTACCTTGAGGAACATGGTATGGTGCACAGGAACCTGGCTGCCCGAAATGTGCTACTGAAGTCACCTAGTCAAGTTCAGGTGGCAGATTTTGGGGTTGCTGACTTGCTGCCCCCTGATGATAAGCAGCTACTGCACAGTGAGACCAAGGTAAGGTGACACAAAGGCTGGGTAAGGAGGCAGGGGTGGAGTGAAGCATGGGGACGGGAAGCACTCTGTGGTCTCTTTGAGAGGCCAGCAGATGCTGCAGGGTTAGTCCAAGGAGAAGAACCTGGAGATGCCAGAAATAAAAGTTTGGAGAGCAACAAAGAACGATGGAGAACATGGGTTTAGAAATGCTAAGAAAATGTGTGGAAATCAGCTGGTGACACCTTTGTCTTTAATCCCCCAGACTCCAATTAAGTGGATGGCCCTCGAGAGTATCCACTTTGGAAAATACACACACCAGAGTGACGTCTGGAGCTATGGTCAGTCCATCTGGATGCCCACCATACCATCACTGGTCCAAATTCCAAAGATGCCTTTTGAGACCCTTTCTTAGAATCTCTAAGCCCTTCAGATCCTGGGTCAGATCAAGTTCTGCCTTCTCTTCATCTGCATGCCCATGTCTACTATTTTGCCGTCAACTAGTCATGTCTTCCTATACCAGGAGTGACAGTTTGGGAGCTGATGACCTTTGGGGCAGAGCCCTATGCAGGGCTGCGACTGGCTGAAGTACCAGATCTGCTGGAGAAGGGGGAGCGGTTGGCACAGCCCCAGATCTGTACCATTGACGTCTACATGGTCATGGTCAAGTGTGAGTTACCTGCTGATCTCAGCCTTTTTTTTTTTTACTCCATTATTGCTTCATTGGACTGAAAACCTAAAAAGCACAGATAAACAATGCTCAGTGATGAAAAGTGAATACCCAGAACAGCGGTGCATGCCCCAAATGGTCTCTGCCCAATAAACACTAAGCGCTCTCCACATTATTGATGCCAATGGCATCTACGTGGACGTCAGGCTCCCCACACAAAGATGAGGGAACAAAGCATCAGCCATTTTCTAAGTAGCTTCCCTCCCTACTCCACTCCCCTCTTATCGCTCTCCTTCCTACATCTTACCCCCAGGTTGGATGATTGATGAGAACATTCGCCCAACCTTTAAAGAACTAGCCAATGAGTTCACCAGGATGGCCCGAGACCCACCACGGTACCTGGTCATAAAGGTGAGTGGAGATTAGGAGGTGCCAAGGAGATCTAGAGAAAAGGGAACTTGGCTGGAACCAGGATATACCTTAACAATCAACCACCTGCCCTCACAGAGAGAGAGTGGGCCTGGACTTCCGCCTGGGGCAGAGCCCCCTGCTCTAACAAACAAGGAACTGGAGGAAGTAGAGCTGGAGCCAGAACTAGACCTAGACCTGGAGTTGGAGGCAGAGGAGGAGAACTTGGCAACCACACTAGGCTCTGCCCTTAGCCTGCCACTTGGAACACTTCCTCGCCCACGTGGGGTAAGATTTTCCAGTTTCCCAAGACTTTCTGCACCCTAAGCCCTCTGTACACCTGCGCCCTCACGAATCCCACAGATGTGTCCATATTAACTATTCAAAGGCCGCTGTGGTGAGTAGATTTCTCTCTTAACCTAAACTTCTTCCTCACTTGTTTCATCCTAGAGCCAGAGCCTTGTAAGTCCATCATCGGGATATATGCCTATGAACCAGGGGAATCTTGGGGAGGCTGCCCAGGTAAGGTCTGTCTCTTTAAGAGGATGCCAAGAGGCTGGGTGGCAGTGTCTTAGGATTGATAGGGGTAGTGTGGGAGACTTTAAAAACTTCTGAGCTTTAATCAGTGTCCTACAAAACAGAAGGCACTGAACGACCCAAGCTCCTTCTAAACAAATCTCTCTTCTTCCCTCATTTCTGTGTAAATCTCCACGTATTATTTTCCTCCTTAGAAGTCTGCAGTTCGTGGGTGTAGTGAACGGTGCCACCGTCCAGCCTCTCTGCACCCAGCGCCACGGGGACGCCTGGCATCAGAGTCATCGGAGGGCCATGTGACAGGCTCTGAGGCCGAGCTCCAGGAGAAGGTATCCATGTGTAGAAGCCGGAGCCGGAGCCCACGGCCACGAGGAGACAGTGCCTACCATTCCCAGCGCCACAGCCTGCTTACTCCTGTCACCCCACAGTCCCCACCAGGGTTAGAGGAAGAGGATGTCAATGGTTATGTCATGCCAGATGCACACCTCAAAGGTGCCTGACTTTCTGTAGCGCTTTCCTCAAATCTTTCTCTAATCCTCCTTCCACAGGCTCCTCTTAATCCTTCTGTCTTCTCTGATCATATCCCTCCCTATTCATTTTTTCCTAAGACTCCCCCACTCCTCACTGCCTATTACAATGAAGTAACACCACATACCTAGCCTCTCTTCTCAACCCTCAGGTACCTCCTCCCGGGAAGGCACCCTTTCTTCAGTGGGTCTCAGTTCTGTCCTGGGTACTGAAGGAGAAGACGACGACGACGAGTATGAATACATGAACCGGAGGAGAAAGTGCAGTCCATCTCGTCCCCCTAGGCCAAGTTCCCTTGAGGAGCTGGGTTATGAGTACATGGATGTGGGATCAGACCTCAGTGCTTCCCTGGGCAGCACACAGAGTTGCCCGCTCAACCCAGTGCCCACCATGCCCAACGCCAGCACAACTCCGGATGAAGATTATGAATATATGAATCGGCGACGTGGTGGAGGAGGTCCTGGGGGGGATTATGCAGCCATGGAGGCCTGCCCAGCAGCTGAGCAAGGGTATGAAGAAATGAGAGCTTTCCAGGGGCCTGTACACCATGGCCCCCAGGTCCATTATGCCCGCCTCAAAACCCTACGTAGTTTAGAAGCCACTGACTCTGCCTTTGATAACCCCGATTACTGGCATAGCCGGCTTTTCCCCAAGGCTAATGCCCAGAGAACATAACCCCTGCTCACTGAGGTACTCAGGGAGCATTTGATGGCAGCTAGTGCCTCTGGAGGGTACCCCTCTTCTCCTTAGTCCGTCTCCCTCACAGATCTCAGCCCCATTTCCCTAGTCCTAGACAATTCCAATCAACCTTTGGAGGCCTTAAACACTTGGACACAAAATTCTTGTGGTATTAGCCAGCTTTGCACTTTTTCTCTTTCCCAAACCCAGGAAAGGAGATGGTTTTCCCTATTTTATGTGCTTTCCCAATCCCATTCCTCAACTTCCTTGGGGGAACTCCCTGGCGATATGAAGGATTACTCCCCATGTCCCTTTCTCTTAGACTCTGACTTGTTGAGACTAGGCTTTAAAGTGTGCCTTTGTTGCCCATCAGACTTCGAAGGAAGAGGAAAGGGGGGAACCTGGCAGGGGAAAGCAAAATTTTGGCTTGTGACCCTTAACTCCCTAGAAAAAATGAGAAGCTTAAAATCTTGTGAAGAGGTTGGGAGTAGATATTAATGATTACTATTAACTGAGCATTTACTATGTGTCGAGCATCATGCTAAACTTTCCAACATTATCTAACTTAATCCTTGACACCAATTCTGTATGCTAGGTACTATCCCATTTTACAAATAAGGAAACTGAGCCTTAAAGAGATTAAGTAAATCAAGTAGCAGGTCCGGATTCAAGATCTTCCAATGCATGTGCTCTTACTGTAAACTGATATATAAGTCAGAGCCCTTGAAGGGGCATTGTCTTCTTGTTTTTGCACTGAATCAAGTCTAACTCCAGCAACTACAGCCTTCTCCTACACCCAGACTTATCTCAGGAGGTGGGAGTAGGGGGTGGTCAGAAGGAAAAATAACTGGGCATCTCTGTGTAAACCATAACCTACATGTGCTGTACATGATCTCCACCCAAGGGACGGATTCACAGTGGTCCCAAGAGCCACTTTTAGGAGCTATTCTCATCCAGTAGTGGGAAGCTTCCAGGTGGCGTAGAAAGAGGACCCAGCTTCAGACTTCCGTCCCCATGGATGGGAAACTGGGGGTATCTGTTGTTAGCCCTGAAGTTTTTTTGTTTTGTTTTTATACGTCTGAATAAAAATGCCAACGTTTTGCAGCTTCCTGTCTGTCAAATAAAAACCTTTAGTGTGTGAGGTAGACCGCCCCTTTTCTCTGTCCCTCAGCAGTGGATAGCTACCACTGTATGCTTCTTTCTCTGTCTCCTCATAGGCCTACTCGGCCCCATGTAGCTTTCTCCAGTCCTACTTTTCCTTATTCCCTTAAGACCAGCATAGGGCACAGTCCTTTTCACTTAAGGGTTTTACTAGAAATCGCTACAGGGCAACCAACTGGGAATAACAAAACAAGCAAAAACAACACGTTTAGGAAGTTAGAAAAAGCCCTAAGAGGTGGAATACTGAAAACGCAAATGTTTTAGAACTCTCATTCTCTTAAATCTCTGTGAACACTTCCCCTAGGTGCCATCAAAGCCTGTTGTTAAACAATAGTGCCATCTTCAGTGGGAGTCCGGTCTCTAGATTGGGAGGCTGTAAACGGATAATCCAGCAGAAGTCTGGCTGCTCAGTTAGCCCCTGCTCCACAGACTCCTGATCTCCTTCCACACCCGCTCTGCCCGTCCCGGTTCTCGCAGCACCGGAGGACGAGCGGACTGGCCGGGCCGGTCCCTCCTGCCACTCCAGGGATCCGGGGAAGGGCGTACCCGGCCTCCCCGCCCTTAACGCAATCTCCCCGACTCGCCTCTGCTCGGCTCCACCCTGCCCCGCAGCCTCCAAACACACTGCCTCGCCGTAGCTCCGCCCCTTCTCCCTTAGCCCGTCCCTCTCTATTACGGGTTCTCGCTCAGCGCTCCTGGTGATTGTGGTTTTTCCGGGAGAGACCACGCTTCTACTCACGCTCTCCAACGGCTCCGCCTTCCCGCCGGAGCCTGACCCTTCCCAGCGTGCTCGGCGATTCCGGCGTGCGAGGCCCTCGGAGGGCAAGGCCCCAGGGCCTGGCCTAGGGACGCGAAAGGCAGGCTGGGAATTGTAGTTTGATAGCCCGCGAGGGGGGCTAGAGGCTGGCGGTAGGAGGGACTCGTTGTCCCAGCGTGCCCTGCGCCTCAGCCCGCGCGCTCGCAGTTTCTCGCTCTCGCCCGCCCTCCGCTCCCTAGCTTGCTCGCGCTTTTGCTCGCGCTCTCCTCGCGGATAGAAGGGACTGTGGCTACAGCCTGTGGCTGGGAAGGGCGACAGAGGCGGCGGTTCAGGAGAAACGAAGCTGCAGTGGTGGTGGTGGTGGGAAGATGTCGGGCGAGGACGAGCAGCAGGAGCAAACTATCGCCGAGGACCTGGTCGTGACCAAGTATAAGATGGGGGGCGACATTGCCAACCGTGAGTGCGGCCTCAGGGGTCCGGAGATCGAGGCTGGGAGGGAGGGGCAAGGGGGACGGTGTTGAGCTGGCCCCTGAGGGGCTGGAGCGGTGGGGTCTTGCAGTGTGGGCTAGTGAGGGCCCCGCGCAGGTCTGCTGGAGGTGGCGTGGTGGGGAGGCTCCGTGTCACGCCTGGGACCTGAGAGGCTAGGCCTGGGCTGGAGTCTCTGAAGATGCGGGCGGGCGAGCGGGTGGCCGGGAGGGGCGGAGAGCTGGGCCTCCGGCCGGCTCCAACCCTAGGCGGTTGGTAAGGAGGCGAGGCGTATCTCCTGCCCCTCACCTTCAGTCCGGATCTCTGTCCCTGATTTTGGCAGCAACGAAGCCATCTCGAAAAGGAAGAGCCCCCTCTATTTTGTAGCGGCTCTCCGCCGTCAGGAGCCTAGCCGGCACGTGTTGCTAGGTCCCCTGCGGATCGCCGGCTCCCTCCGCTGTGGTCCCTGACACCAGCTTCCCTACCACGTGCTTTGTTGTAGTTTTTCGTTCTTTACTTCAGCTGCTTCCTTGATGAGGGCCGCCTTCTACACTTGGGCCAGCTTAGGGACCGTTGGAGGGCACCCCATAACTCTTGGAGATGTATCTCACTGTTCTCGAAGTTATTCATCACCACCTCCAATCTGCGCAGATGGCTTTAGTTAGTCGTCAAATTTGATTGTTCTCAGGGGTTTCACAACTTTAGGAGTGTTTTGAGGTCCTTCTCCCCCCAACTAGGCAAACCTGTGAATAGTACTGTTAAAGGGGGGACTGATGTTAGAATCTCAGAATATTAGGACTGTGCTCTGACTTACTCAGCAGCTGCCTGCCACTCTGGACAGATGTCTCACTTTCTGTCTTCTCTCTTTCCAATTTAAAACCTAGTTAGGGGGACAGAAAGTGCTTGTCTTTGGGCTTTTAAATGGTTTTGACAGTAAAGATAGGCATTTAGGATGCCTTTGATCCTATGGCTGAAAACCTGAGTTTTTCAGACTTCCAAAGAGTCACCAAAACTTGGATCACAGAAATCAAATCTGAAGTCCAGGATGGGCCATGGAGAGGGTATCCAGTGAACAAAATAATGCTTTATAACATAATGGACATGTAGTGGTTTGAATCAGAAAAAAATTTTTTTCCCTCTTGCAGTTTATAATTTCTGAGGCACTTGTGATTCCAGATACCAGTTTGAAACTCTTTGGGGTCACATACCTCTTTGAAACCTGCTAAAAGCAGAGCTTGCTGAAGCCCAGGGACCTTAGTTTAAGTCTCCTTGACTTGTTATTTGAAGAAGTAAGTCTACATAAATGGGATTACTAACATCTAATTGGGGTGTCTGGGAAGGGAAGAAGGTAGCATTTAACAGTGCATCAGCTTGGAGTCAGCAATTGTATGTCTACCTTCCTGTTGTCCCTGATGCCTATAAATTTCCTCCAGGCTGCTTTGCATGTATGTTGGATACCTTGGTGAGAACCCCCTTAAAGTTCATAATCCTGTCCTACCACACCTACCACACCACAGATACCATCTTTGAAAGTCTCCCTTGCCTAAGGAGACAGATGGTGCATACCCAGTTGTCACACTATATAAGGGAGGAAAGGGAGTGTTGGCTTTTTTATTTCAGGAAAGGAAGGTAGAGATTTCGAGATTATAGGGAGGTACATTGCAAGAGACAAAACTTATTCCCTCTTTCATCCTTTGAGCAATGGCACTAGGTAATATTAGAAACTCTAAGTCCAACTTCTAGGTGTTTCTTGGATGGTAACTTAGACAACACATGCAGGACTGATACGGGGTTCTGTTCCCAGGGGTACTTCGGTCTTTGGTGGAAGCATCCTGTTCAGGTGTGTCGGTACTGAGCCTGTGTGAGAAAGGTGATGCCATGATAATGGAAGAGACAGGGAAGATTTTCAAAAAAGAAAAAGAAATGAAGAAAGGTAAAAACAATCCCCCACGAATTTCCTAAGTTTGACCCTTATTCAGTCCTGTTTGTTTTATTGTAATGATGCAACCCCTACCCCAGCACTCGTTGAGATATTTGGAAATTTGGAATGGCAAGGGGGATTCAAGCAGTTTCCCACCCAATCCAAACTGATCAAATTTAAGCAAGACCCTGAAGAAAATCCACTCATCTTTCTGAGGGGCAACAGGGCTCCAAGAGAGTGAGCAAGGCAGTAAGGCTGATTGTCTCTTTACAGGTATTGCCTTTCCCACCAGCATTTCAGTAAATAACTGTGTATGTCACTTCTCCCCTTTGAAGAGCGACCAGGACTATATTCTCAAGGAAGGTGACTTGGTAAAAATGTAAGCTTAAACTATTTTGGAGCACTTGTCTTCTTCCTAAGCATTCACAGTAGTGCCAGTTGCTAATGCTGTACTCTGCTCTTGCCTTTCAGCGACCTTGGGGTCCATGTGGATGGCTTCATCGCTAATGTGGCTCACACTTTTGTGGTTGATGTAGCTCTGGTAGGTGGACCACTTTGAACTCTGTTGAGCCAGTGGGGAGTGGGGGAGGGCGCACTGCTGCTTGCTTCTTATCCCCAGCCCCACCACCACGCAAGTTTTGAGAGAGTATCTAGAAATGAAAGAGGAAAGGGCGTTTTCTCTCCTGACCACTAGCTGCGTAATGGACACAAACAGATATTAACTGAAAGACCAGCTGTGTTAAAGAGCTTTCCAGGAAGGCACTCACTGCATTTCCTTATCTACAGGGGACCCAAGTAACAGGGCGGAAAGCAGATGTCATTAAGGCAGCTCACCTTTGTGCTGAAGCTGCCCTACGCCTGGTCAAACCTGGAAACCAGGTAAGCTGTTGAGTCCAACTCCAAAGCTTGTTAGAGCCAAAGATGCATTAGGCATCTACAGCTATTCTGTACTGAAAGAGAAG